AATAGATCCGCACGGCAAGAGAGCACGATGTGGACTGAACTTCTGATTTAATTTTATACATTTGTCTGCCAATATATCTGAGCTTGTTGCTTAATTGCTGACTTGAGGTAAAGGAACAGGAAGATTTCAAACTTTAAATGTTTGACTGGATACGTAAAAAAAACTTGAATATTGGCATCCCTGTACATCATACAGAATAAAAAGAAAATTGCGATTACCGTCAACAATTCGCGCCATTAAAATTAACTCCGCAATGTTTGTGATAGCACATCAGCCCCTTGGCGATTTTTGGGACATCATTTAATATGTAATGTTAATTGGTAGTTTTAGGAAAAAGTACAGAGATAATGATAATTTCGAATAGGGCATAGTCTTTTTGGCCCCTCAATATTTTCTATTTGTTTTAATGAAAGACGGGGTGACACAAAATAAAAATCAAATTTGCATCAACCTAAGCAAGATTTAAGAAATTTCAATAGAATGCTTAAGCACCGTTGGTTTAAGTTCATAGAACTATAGCTACATAGAAGTCCTATAAATTCCACGGAATCCTGAAATGTATTTTACACTTATTATGGCTCCAAATTCCCTGAGTGAATGTTTGAAACCACTGCAATCTCAGGTACATTATCATTATCATTATATTCTCGATTTCGTATTGAAATTCCCGACTATTCAATTCTATTTTTATATTCCAGTCATAAATCACGCTAAAGCTAATCTAATCGTGCAATGATAAGTCAATAGCCATTTTCAAGGATATTTATAGACAACATATCGTAAATAGAACGTAATTTCGATTACTGATATGATCGACAAAGCATATGTTCAAACACGTGGATTCCATACCTAGGCAACAAAAAAAAAAGTTGAATATTACATCGAGATTGTGCACCCAGGTAATTCCATCAGTTGTATAATAATTACGTTGAACGATGTGCATAGTTTTTGCGAACAAATTTACATTCACCGATGTAATTTTGAAATTACATCAATATTTAAAAAATGGATCTAATTATGGGTGACAGAAAAATTAGAAATTTTTGGTCAGCTCCATGGATAGGTCGTGAGGTCCATCAGTACCCCTGTTCGTATCATGCAAGCTGACCACCGTTTAATGTGTAGACAGCTAATCGCCTGGACACGTCCTTTTCCAGTCAGCTATGATATGGTTTATGAAAACAACTACCTTTCCAGGATTAAAGGGTGATACGGTCAAAATTTGGTCAATATCAACTTGACGTATTTCTTTCAATTTTGCATTTAAAAAACCTGAACACCTCTCATTTTGAAGGTGTGTGTGTGTAGAATGTTGCTCCTATTTTGATTTTGGAATTCACTCTTCAGTTGTCAAAATGCCGTCCAAGCAAGAAGAGCAGCGTATCAAAATTTTGCTCGCGCATCGCGAAAATCCGAGCTACTCGCACGCAAAGTTGGCAAAATCGCTAAAAGTTGCCAAATCAACCGTTACAAATGTAATTAAAGTGTTTGGGGAACGTTTGTCGACAGCCAGGAAGTCTGGATCGGGGGGAAATCGAAAACCGGAAGCCGCTGAGACGACAAAGAGAGTTGCCGGTAGTTTCAAGCGAAACCCTAACCTCTCTCTCCGAGATGCCGCAAATAAGCTGGGTGTATCGTCTACAACCGTGCATCGAGCCAAAAAACGAGCCGGACTATCGACTTACAAGAAGGTAGTGACTCCAAATCGCGATGATAAACAAAATACGACGGCCAAAGCGCGATCCCGGAGGCTGTACACGACGATGCTGACGAAGTTTGACTGCGTGGTAATGGACGACGAAACCTACGTCAAAGCCGACTACAAGCAGCTTCCGGGACAGGAGTTTTATACGGCAAAAGGAAGGGGAAAGGTAGCAGATGTTTTCAAGCACATGAAACTGTCAAAGTTCGCCAAGAAATATCTGGTTTGGCAAGCCATCTGTACCTGTGGCTTGAAAAGCAGCATTTTCATAGCTTCCGGGACTGTCAACCAAGAAATTTACGTGAAAGAGTGTTTGAATAAACGTCTGCTGCCTTTCCTGAAGAAACACGGTTGTTCCGTACTGTTTTGGCCGGATTTGGCATCTTGCCATTACGGTAAAAAGGCCATGGAGTGGTACGCCGCCAACAACGTGCAGGTGGTTCCCAAGGACAAGAACCCTCCCAACACGCCAGAGCTCCGCCCAATTGAGAAATACTGGGCTATTGTCAAGCGGAACCTAAAGAAGACCAAAAAAAACTGCTAAGGGCGAGCAGCAGTTCAAGGCAAACTGGCTTTCTGCGGCGAAGAAGGTGGACAAGGTGGCTGTACAAAATCTGATGGCAGGGGTCAAGCGTAAGGCCCGGCAATTCGGATTTGGAAAAGCGGAAGCCTAACTGAATATTTTTCCTGAATTTTATACTAATTGAACTTGAAAAAGAAATTTAATTTGATTTTTTAAATAAACGATTTCACCGATTTACACGCGTTTTCCCTTGACCAAATTTTGACCGTATCACCCTTTAGTAGGACCAAGTTCCACTAAGTTGTTAGATAACACTACCGCTTGAGTGATGCACCACAACTGCTGAGTAAATGTTCCGAGGTTTCACGTTCTATGCTACAGAAACGGCCGCTTTCACTCTGAACTCGACCAATGTTCTTCAAATGATATCTACTCGGACAGTGCCCAGTTACTAGGCCAGTGTTTATACTAAGAGCTCGTTCATTGAGCTCCAAGTGCTTTTTGGTATGTGTTACATTTGGAGTTATAAATCTTTTTGACTGGTTGCACTTCGTGACGGTCATCCAGTTGACCATCACCCTTTGTTCAGTTTGATATTCAACAATATGGTTCTGGGTCAATAAACTGTGAATTGGAACCTAATTTTGAGAGATCGTCTGCCCTTTCATTCCCTTCAATGCCACAGTGTTCAGGAACCCAATACAAGTTTACTGAGTTCTGTTGGCACAGCTGTCGGAACTAGAAAATACATTCCCAAACAATCTTTGATGTACATTTTGTAAGCACGCAGCGCTTTTAGTGCTGCTTGACTGCCAGAAAAAAATACAGTTTTTTGCATATCTATATTTTCTCCTTAGGCAAATAATTACACATTCAAGTATGGCCATGATTTCCGCTTGAAACACTGTTGGACAATGTCCCATCGCCACTGAAACGTTTGTCCCAGGGCCAAAGATTATTCCTGCACCTGTTTGTGTTCCGAACGCTAAGACCACCGACTTCCCAATCCGAACGTAACGTTTCACACACGTTGAAGGGAGTGTAATAGTTATCCTCCGGTTTCATCCAGTCCTTAAGTAAGTATTTACATTTAAAGCCTTAAAGCAGTTCTTTCCGCTTCTAGTTGCACGTATTCATGCAAAGGCAATAGATTGAGGATTGCATCTAACGCTTTTGAAGCACCCGTTATAGCAATACAAGCTAGACGTGGAAGTTTTGCCAGCTTCCTCTGTGCAGTAGTCTCCTTCGTTTTGGCCACCACACTAACGAAGCATAAGTTAATTTTGGACGGATTACTGATGTGTAAATCCACATTGTCATTGTTGGTTTCAAACCCCATTTTCTACCAACAGTTTTAGAGCACAACTACAGGGCACTGGTTGCTTTGTTGATCACAGAATCAATCTGAGCATTCCAATTCAACTTGGTATCCAATATAAATAGCTCCTAGGTAGTTGACCTGTTCACTAAGATGGATCTGTTCTCCTCCAAGCTTGAACTTCCTATTTCTAGTAAAAGGAACGATTACTACTTTTGACGGATTAATGTTTAGGCCCTTCTTAATACATCAAGATTGGGTAAACTTTAGAGCCTGTTGCATTTTTCTGAAATGATAGCGTCCAATTTTTCTCTTACTACGATGACTATATCATCCGCAAAGCCTCCAATTTCGAAACCTTTCGCCTCTAGGCTTCTTGGCAGATCATCTACAACTAAAGACCTCATTAGTGGTGAGAGGATTGCTCCTTGAGGACAACCTTTCGTTGTCAGCGAAGGTTTAAAGGCATACCGGGCCAGTAGGCAACCAAGCAGAATACCGTAGCTAGAACCCGTGCTCGAAAGCTGTATGACAACCTGCTGACCAAGTCCGGTGGGTACATACTAATGGATGATGAAACCTATGTAAAGGCCGACTTCGGACAGCTTCCAGGACCAACATTTTGCAAGACGAAGGCTCGAAGAGGTGTCCCTAGTAGATTCAAATTTGTTTTTGAGAATATATTCGCACGCAAATATATGATATGTCAGGGAATTTGCAACTTCGGCCAGAAGACAAAGGTTTTCGTCACTGAGAAAATGATTAACTCGGAGCTTTACAAAACCGAATGTTCCCAGAAGCAAATTCAACTTTCAGGATTCAGGAGAATCAAATTACTTAAAAATATGTTGGGTACGATTTAAAAACAAATATTCATTACGACCGGTTGTTGTATAGTCACCCCACTATGGCAGAGGCTTACTATTTTCATACATTTCAGAATATTTTTATTAATTATGGTTAAAAGAATGAAAATTCTCCTAGGTTTGTATTAAGATCAAATGCTAAGAAAATACTTCAGTCATCTAACATTCCGCAAAAAGTGATTCCGCGAAACGGGCTATTACACCAAATGTCACTCCGTGACACGGGTCATTCCACAAAATGTCGAACAACCAATCCAGTTGGTCAAGCTACACATTTGTATTATTTAAGTTTAAGAAAGGCTCATCTTGCCCCTTCTTCCCCAATGTTGGGGCTGTTGTTTGCTAAAAAATAGTGCAGACATAAATAAGACTGAAACAAGAGTCAAAACCATTTCAGTGTTTGTAAAATTGTAAGACGGTTGTTTACGCATGAAACGACAGAGATCACATACCTATTATGGTAACTGTGCGCACAGCTTAGGGAGGGAATTCGTTCGCACTTCCTGATATTCGATCCATACTCATAAAAGGTTCCAATGAGTGGTGGAAGCAGAGATAAGGTGTTGGTAATTAATTACAGTATCTACTTACCTTGCTGAAGGTACGATGGGGTTTCGTGTGAGTTGGCTGCTGCTGCTACAATCCACTGCTGGAGAATTGCACAAGATTAACTCAGCTGCTGGTTCCCACTAGCTTTTTTCTTCTTCAACTATGCCTTGTCTTTTGACAACTTCAATACCCCCGTTTTGGGATTTCACTTTTTTTTTCGCACTATGATTTGGATACTCTTGTCGAATTTTCACTGGCGCACAATAAACGAAGCAAGGTTCTCCAACAATAGAATTTTCCGCCGAGAAGACAAAGGCTTTCCTATATGCCTTCTGATTCGATACGCGGGTAAGTGGTAATATACAGCAGTGGGTAGCAGTAGCAGAAAAATCTTCCTACTCGGAAGCCATTGGCTTGTGGAAAAATAACACAGTCACCAACTGCAGCACCCAAATCTGGCACGGATTACGTGATGGCCTACACACTGATTGCGTTCTTTCTATTCGCCTTCCGGAGAGACACCCAATAAAAACGAGAAAATGGTCGTAAACAATGCACCCGCGACGCAATCGACACCAAATTATAAAAAACGGGATCTATTTTTTTCCTTCGTCGTCACTCACTTAAGATTTTATGCGTGTCCGATCGACACGGGTTCGTATTCTGAAAAAGAAACACCAGTGCCAGTCCTCACTGGTCACAGGCAGAGGAGAATATGCGAGGAAAAATCGATCGACTTGTGCGACACACACGCACACCAAAAGTAAATTTTACACCAAACGTCAAAAGAGCACGAAGAAGCAGAGAGAGAATGGAAAACAAACAGCTGTCAGTGCTTGTCACACAGTTAATTCAGATAAACCGAAGTTGGTAAAATTTTACCGCGGTTTTGAACAGCTGAAAATGTCGATATAATTTCAAATGACCGTTATATATATTTATATGTATGTATGTATATATATACAATCCAACTTCCACTGTCCGGCAGTGTATTTATGGAAGAAAAATGTTTGCAATATAATCTATTATTATCTTATATTCCATTGCATTGCACATCCCATTGCTAACAATTTTAGCCCGGAAGTTGAAAGGTGATACCCGCATAAACGTGAACCATAAATTGACCTTACTTAAAATGGTTGAAAATTGTTTATAATCCCTGCTAAACTTCAACTGAAATGGTTATGGAACTTTACATGAACGTTTAATGATAAAGTTTCAACCTTATGTATTGTGGTTTTTTGGAACTGGACCTTACAAATAATGGGTTGTTAAGAACCATTACCGTTCCAAATTCTTGTTTTCTCCATACATTTTCGGAAAGAGAACTATATTAGAACCTTTTAACTTATGGTTTGAGAACTTTAATGGTAATGGTTATGGTAGTCAGTAAGGTCCACGAATGGTTTTGTAACATCGATCAACTTTATGTGGAATATATCGCGAATTGGTTGCCTGTAATTTACTGATTACCAATTCACGATATATTCCACGTAAAGTTGAGCGATAATACAAAACCATTAATGGACCTTACTGACTACCATAACCATTACCATTAATGTTCTCAAATCATAAGTAAAAACGTTCTTATATAGTTCTCTTTCTGAAAATGTATGGAGAAAACAAGAATTTGGAATGGTAATGGTTCTTAACAACCCATTATTTGTAAGGTCCAGTTCCAAAAAACCATAATACATAAGGTTGAAACTTTATCATTAAACGTTCATGTAAAGTTCCATAACCATTTCAGTTAAAGTTTAGCAGGGATTATAAACAATTTTTAACCATTTTAGGTAAGGTCAATTTATGGTTCGCGTTTATGCGGGTAGCATAGAGGTAACTCTAAGACTAGTAGGTCCCGAAGAAAATCATTATTATTTTTGGCTCACTCAGTACCAGAACAACGGTCCCAAGCAGTCCCAAGCTATTTCACTCACCCCTGCATGTTCTGCATGAATCCACACACCCCTGATGTTATCTGTCAAACTTTCATAGCGAATCAAAACAAACATAGTGTAGTAATAGAATTTCAACTAGAATAGGGTACGTTAATCGTTTGCTTGGGACCAATAGGCTACTAAAGTGGTGAGCCAATTTAAAATCGTTAGTTTCGTATTGATTGTTGGTGATATCTCTGCCCAACTAACATTTTCAGCTTTATAAGCCAACTTTTCCAGCGATGTGCTGTAAAGTAGCTGAAATAAAGCTGCAGAAACAGCTACAAACAGAAGCTAGCAAAATAGTTTTGGAGAGCGTTTACTCAACTTTTTCACTACCATTATTCAATTTGTCAGTCGCACTGAATAACAGCAGCCAATAAACGCTAATGTCACTTCTATGCAAATATTAATCAACTTTCAAATTGTAGCTGCAAAACAAAGCTAATAAAGTGAATATATTACTCATTTGATGGCTTCTACACAACCAACCACACTTGTTGAATAACATAAACAACAAAAGTGCTTTTCAGCAACTAAACAACCTGCACACTTGCAAAAAATCACCGACTTCGGTAATTCATTTACCGAATTCTCAACAGCTGAACGGTCGGTAATGTTTTCGGTAATCGAGAACATTACCGAAAAATCTGTAAAATGGATCAGCAAAATTAGCTGTCAAATTTACCGAACGATTGGTAACGTTTACCGATGTGCATTGCTTGATTTGTAGTCGACTTTACCGGAGAACTGTAATTTTGAGAACGATATGCAAATCGAAAATTACCGAGAGATCTGTAATTTTATAAAAAAGTAACCGACTCAACTGTAATTTGCTTTAATATTGTTTCAAGGTGGCGGTCACTGCAAACCATGTAAAAATTTGGCTGCTGTCGTGATCAATAAGTTAGTGTTGCAAATTGCACCACCAATGAACAAAACCGTTTTTGACGGAAGGCTTCGGCGCTACACTGAAAACTAGAGTTGGTGTATAATGAGTCACGCCAAGAGTGAAGCCAAGTCTACCTATTGAACTGTCAAACCGGCTACCTATCGTGCAAAGTAAATAAACATTACGATGCTATGAAAGGTCCACGAAAGGTATTGCAATAAAATATAAAATATAATCGAAGAAATGAGCATAAACACGCAGTGAGCGCTAAATTGTCATGGGATACGCTCGGTAATGATTAGTGATGAGAATTTCTACTATTTTTTGTTAAGATAATTTGACAAAATCACTGATATAATGATTTACTACAGCCGCAATATTTTTTCTCTCGCTAGAAGTCATTTGAAGTTGTTGTAGAAGTCCTCTGTTGCCAAGTGAAAAGAATGGGAATTTTCCGAAAACCGTGATGCGAGTTCAACTGTTTTTCTCTTGGCGTGACTCATTATACACCGACTCTACTAAAAACAAGGAAGCTTTGGAAGAATATTCCAAATGCTGTTTTCAGATCGTCGCCAACGGGAATGGAACTTGGACCGACAGAAAAAAAAAGCAACAACATCGGCCATCTGTAATCGGTATTTATTTAGATAAAGAAAATTAATTATTTACGGAAAATATCTACGATTCACTCATTTTGGTGTTGAATAACAGCCTCCATAATTTCACCACTTTTTATTTTTCACAGGCACGAACGCTTTTAAAGTTGATCGAAAATAACAATATGGTGCATTTGACGTTTACCTAGACCATTACCGAACTCAGTAATGGAACGCTTTGTTTACCGAAACTTCAGTAAAATATTTCACCGAAGTCAGTGATGAAGCTGATTTACAGACCTGCCGGTAAAAATGTTTACCGTTTTCGGTAAATTAAAATGAAATTACCGAAATTCGGTCATTTCATTTACAGTTTTCAGCAATAAAGCGAGAAAATACCGAAACATCTGTAATTTTTAGCATTACCGATCTAAGACGGTAATTTTTTTTACCGAACTCAGGGTCTCTGTTTAAGTGTGTGTACTCAGCTAATAAACTGTGTTAGCGCTACTTTAGATGCCTTGTTACAGTCAACTTGGTTTATTTTTAGACGTGTGCAGTTTTACAGTTTTTACTCTGCTCCTTTACAGAGCTGAAGTAACTAGTCGAGAAAAGTGATTCATGTGCACTATTGGCGTTGACGGCGACTCTGTAACTCTTTACTCCTATGAGAAAATCCATAAGCAAACGTCAGACTGTGCGTAAAACATGGCAGACTTTGTACTATCCTTTCACTCCACCGAAAATTCCCATAAGAAACTGTCTATATTTGCTGGAAGAGCAAATTTTTCGACGGTGCCGTCAACGCCAATTATAAAGCCTCTACGCAGTGATCTTGTTGTAGAAGGGCATGTAATTTGTTTACATCAGTTCAAAGTGTTGGCGTAGCTAAGTTGGTAGTGTCAAGGTTTTTCAATGCGGTCGTCTCGAGTTCGATTCCAGGATTCCGGTGCAAGGTAAATAAATTCGGTGGTGTTCTAATTTCGATTGATTTGATTCACAGTAAAATAAACTTAATAAAATCCTCCGACAAAAAAGCGTTAAACAATTTTTAACCCGGCTTCCAGAGAAAGCTGTGTATTGATTATTGGATAACCGGGAAAAAGTTGAATAAGCGCCTTTCAAGTTCATACACAACTAAACAGCAGGATAACAGCTGCATAGAAGCGTAAATGGATATGCGATAAGAGCTTGTCCCAACCGGTCCCAACAGTCATACGTAGCTGACTTAGTTCGCCAGATTTGCTTGTAAAGAGGTTGAGGTTTCCTCATATCGTATAACATTTGAATACAGCTTGAGGATGTATAAATGAAATGAGTAAAGCGTTTACATTGCGAAAATTGTTAGTTGGGTGTTGAGATTCAGTAACCTATTTCAGAATGCCTGGTCACTCACGTCCATTCCCAGGTTACTTTCACTTACAACAAGCCCCTCATACACGTAATGTAAATGTATATTGGTACTGCGTGTACACTTCCATCATCAACGCAATTCCTGCTTTGTAGATGGCACGTATTTAGTAGAATGCATTTCATATTTTTATTTTGAAGTGTTCTTCTCAAAGAATTAAGGAAGTTTGAGTGCTTCTAACTATACGTTTATTCAGGTTGACATCTACACTTCGAATGACTAATGTTTCCATCTCGGTCGCAGCTGTAGGTTGCTGCGATTACTTGAATGGAACATCGTGATTACTTGGATGGAACATCTCCCAGATTCGACCG